CTTAAGAGATAAAAGCACTTGATGAGATTCCCCAAATTCCAAGGTGTGCTGAACACTCCTCCTAATGGACTCCAAGTGGCTGTGTTTATACATTGTGACTCTTAGTCATGTACTTTATTTTGCAGTGCTTGGGATGAACCCAGGACCTTGTACATGCTGGGTGAGCACTCTACCATGAAGCTACAACCCCAGCTCCTGGACTTGGGCTGTTTGGAGCTTGGTGGTATGTTGGGGATTGTTTAAACTTATGTTCATTTTCTTACAGATTTCATGCTGTTTTCCATCATGGTTAAATCAGTTTACATTCACACTGACTAGGTATTTTTTTTTCTGTATTCACGATATAAAGTTTCTCTGGGAAAATTACAGTTTATGAAGAGTCCGATATTTAGAGCCAGATGTGGTGATACACAGCTGTATTCCCAGCATGCTGGGAGGCTGTGGCAGGAGAATTATGAGTTTGAGACCATACTTAGACCAGATCCAAGGTGTTTTACAGTTCCTGAATCCTAAACTCCAGTTCTGTGGGCTTCTTGGGCTGGTTATTGCTGTGCCTGGAGCTACAGCATTCCCAGCTGGCCCACCCTCCCACTAAGTACTACCAGTCTGACCATGCCATTGGAGGATTCTGAAGATGCAGCTTTTGATAAGCTCAAAATGCAACTATTAAATCACTGTTTAGGACATCATAACTTTTTTTTTTTTTTTTTTGTACTGGGGACCAAACTCGGGCCCTTGAGCTTGTGAGGTCGGCAGTGGAGCCACTGAGCCAAATCCCCGGCCTCAAGACACCATAGCTATTAACCCCTCATCTCCCCTTTGTACCTGAAAAGGAAGGAGGGGGCACTTGGAGTCTAACTTTCAACGTGGATCCAGGTACCTATGGGACATCCCCTAGTCCAGGGGTTGCCTGTACATCTCCTACTCGTCAGTCAAATCCCCCCAGAACTCAAGCTGGTACCTCCCTATTTCTGTGCCCCATGCCCTGGACACGCTTCTGAATTCCTACCTCACCAGCACCTTTCTGGTGACCACTTCCTCTAGTGGGGTCTCTGCTTAAACCCACTCTCCAGGACTCAGGCTGAAATTATCACAGTCCTGCCCTTCATTCTTTTTCAACAAGACACCAATGACTCCAGATCTCACTTGGCTGCTCAGCAAGGTGTCTGGGGCCTCCCTCTGCCATGGCATGCACTGGGAAGGATGCTGGCAGTGCCTGTGGGATCAGAGCCCTCACACCTCTGGGGTTAGGCAGCAACCCTCAGCCACCTTGCTGAGGAGGAGTTGGGGATACCCCCAACATGCCTGCAGATGGCTAGGTTCCTCCACCAGTGCAGGGATCACCCATCCTGAAGATGCCTCCAAAACCCCGTATAAAATACCCAGTTCCAGCTTATTATGTGTCTCTCCCTCTTGAGGGCCAATGCTCCATTTCTTTGAATGTGTACTTTTAAATTTCTGCCTAATAAATCATTTTCTGCTTCTTGACGTCCTGAAAATTCTTTCCTTGTCAGGAGTCAGTGAAACTGCAACTTAATTTCACAGGTACTGTGGATTTAGCTTACTCATCCCTCTTTGGAAACTTCCTAGGACACTGTCGGATGACAGGCCCAAATCTCTTAAAGATGTAAGTCCACAAATTAACCTAGTTGATAAGATAAAGGGGAACAACTTGACTTTAACATGAGGTAACAGATATGGCAAAAGTTAAATTAATTTTCTTCCACTTAAAAAAAATGAGGACCAAGGTGGTGGATATGGTGGTGGTAGAGGATATGATGGTTACAATGAAGGAGGAAATTTTGGTGGTGGTAACTATAGTAGTGGTGGAAACTATGACTTTGGAAATTATAGTGGTCAACAGCAATCAAACTACGGACCCACGAAGCGGGGGCAGTTTTGGTGGAAGAAGCTCTGTAGTCCCTATGGTGGTGGTTATGGGTCTGGTGATGGAAGTGGTGGATATGGTAGCAGGTTTTTAAAAAGACAACCAAAAAGGGCTACAGTTCTTAGCAGAAGAGAGAGCAAGGAGTTGTCAGGAAAGCTGCAGATTACTTTGAGACAGTTATCCTAAATGCATTAGCAGAACTGTAAAAATCTGCCACAGAAGGAACGACAATCCATAGTCAGTTTAAACAGGAAACCCTTCTGGTTTAGGACTGTCATAGCCTCAGTTTGCAAAAAGTGCAGCTATTGATTAATGCAATATAGTGTCAATCAGATGTACATTCCTGAGGTATTTTTTCTGTTGTAGCTTTTCCCTTTTGTTTTCATTACATCAGGTATATTGCCCTGTGAATTGTGGTAGTAGTGCCAGGAATAAAAAATTAAGGAGTTTTTAACTTTTCAATATTTTGTACTTGTTTTTCTACACTTTAGTACAGAAACTTTAAAATGCAGTTTCGAAGGTGTTTCCTTGTGAGTTAAGTAAAGATCACTGTTAATTATTATTTTGTATGAATTTTGCTAAAGCTAACTATAAAGAAACACCTATTCACTTGCAGGTTAAGGGGGAATAAATCTATTCTCCCCATTTCATACCATGATACAAATGGGCACTGACATGTGGAGAGAATAGATATTTGAATATTTGCAATGTGTTTTAGATAAAATACAATTGGGTATTTAAATTAGCATATTTGTGAATTTAATAGCATTAAAATTACTTTCAAATGAAAAATCTCAAAATTCTTATCGGTTTTTGTGCATTTTTTTCAATATGTTATCATGATTTTAGTGTGTTAGATTTGCTGAGTTCTAGCTGTGTTTAAAACACTTCAATTCTGAAGCCAGGCATGGTGGTGCACGCCTGTAATCCCAGCACTAGGGAGGCTGAGGCAGGAGGATCACTGTGAGTTTGAGACCAGCCTGGGCTACACAGTTGAGTTCCAGGCTAGTCTCAACTACATAGTGAGACCCTGTCTCAAAACCACCCGTCTAAAAAAAAAAAAAACCATCTCCATTCTGCATTTACTTTGGTCATATTTAAACTGCTGCCATAGTTTTCCGGTATAAAGAAATGCCTACTGCCCTCTAAATTCTGGGAAAGGGTAGTGGATGTTTTCCCTTGCCCACGTTAAAAACCATTAACTTTTTTGAGATACAGGACCACTAAGTCTGCTGTGTCTGAGCAGATTAGTGGATACTTGGTTTTCTTTTAGGTTTTTTTCTTTAAGGACACAAGAGGCCCAGTTTTTAAATCTTGAGTTGCTTTCCTTGTTTGTTTTTCTTCCCCCATACAAGCTTTCAGAGCAAGAAAATAAAAATCCTGTATTGTTGAACCCCTACAAAAAAATGAGAAAACAAATTCAAGGAGTTCAAATAATGTTTCTAGGTAAAACTTCTTACATACCAGGGATTTAAGTCAGTGGCACTGCGCCTGCCTGACAGGCACATGGTCACGAGTTCGATCCCCGTATCCCCCCAACCTTCTATCATCCATCTTAACAGATATCTCCAACCCCAGACCATAATGTATCTCTCTTTTGCACTTATACTATTTTCTCTCAACTCTGGCTGATAAATCTGCCTATACCTTTCACTGACATGACCTGAAGTTCTTTTTCTGTAACAACAATCAATGAACCTACTCCATGGTGGGGATGGGGGGAAGGTTGGGTTGAATGAGGTTCCCTGTATCTTCCTTGGGCCCCATCCCAACCCCAGACCATAATGTATCTCTCTTTTGCACTTATACTATTTTCTCTCAACTCTGGCTGATAAATCTGCCTATACCTTTCACTGACATGACCTGAAGTTCTTTTTCTGTAACAACAATCAATGAACCTACTCCATGGTGGGGATGGGGGGAAGGTTGGGTTGAATGAGGTTCCCTGTATCTTCCTTGGGCCCCATCTGATGACATACCTGTTATTACAGTGTAGCCCTGTGCTTTGTTTAGTTTTTATTACCTACCTGTAAACTGGACTCGATCCTGAATTCTAATTTCTTCCAAGATGTGGCCAAGAACTCTCCAACTAATAACAAGAACTGCTTTTCTGAAGTCCTATAAGCTGGAACTGGACAACTCAATGTTAAGTTACAGGGACAGTATCATATCTAAAGTGTAGGCTAAAACACAATGCGTAGACCAAAAACAGCTCATCAAACCACTTGATACCCTAAGCAGAGACAAATCAGAAGCTGGGCATGGTGGTGCTCGCTTGTAATCCCAGCACTTGCGAGGCTGAGGCAGAAGATTGCCACAAATTTGAAGCCAACCTGGGCTACATAGCGAGAGCCTGTCTCAAATAATCAAACAAAAAACCTAACCCTAAACCTCGCTGTTTACCCCTTGTACCTAAAGAGCTGGCCCCTCAGGATCTGTGCGCCCACAAACTGCACCAGAGCAAACTGCACTCCTACAAGCGGAGGCAGCCGGCGCGGCGCTGTGACGTAAGGAGAAAAGAGCTGTCGCGGCACTGTGACGTAAACAGACAGGCGCGGTAATAAGACGTAACGCGTGGGCGCTAGTTTGTGGTACGAGGCCCTTCCTCGCGTGGGCGGAACTGGCGCGGCGGCGTGGCGTAGCCCTCCGGTAG